CTCGCCAGAGGGGACGTTGCTCCGAGACAGCATGTCTGCTCCCTGGTTCAGTTTGCCTGGTATGTGCGCTGCTTTTAGGGAGCGCAAGTGGCAATGTGCCCACTCCAGTAGGCTCTTTGCCATTCTGAAGAGGCGTGGGGAGGAAAGGCCGCCTTGGCGATTTATGTAGGATACTACCGTCATGTTGTCCGATCGGACTAAGACATGGCATCCTTCTAGATGTGGTAGGAAGGACTGTAAGGCCTGCCATACTGCCAGCATTTCCAGGCAGTTGATGTGCAGCTTTGTCTCTTCGCTCGACCACGCGCCAAAGGCTGGTCTGCCGTCGCACAGGGCTCCCCAGCCCGTGTTTGACGCATCTGTGAAGATGACCTTCCTTTTGTGCATCATCCCCAGGGATACGCCCTGTTTGAACCACGAAGGATCTTTCCAAGGGGCAAGGGCTGCGATGTAGGCTTGATCCACCTTGATACCAAGGCATCCGTGACGCCAAGCTCGGGATGGAACCAGGGGTTTCAGCCAGTGTTGAAGAGGCCGCATGTGAAGGAGGCCTAACTGCAGTACTGGCGATGCAGAGGCCATAAGGCCCAGCATCCTTTGAAACACTCTAAGAGGAAGGGACGTGCCTGTCGTGAAGGCGGTTGTCAGCCGCTGTATAGCCAGGACACGTTCCGGTGAGGCTACAGCTCTCATTTGGGTTGAGTCGAAGACAGCCCCCAGATTCGTGATTCGTTGGCTGGGAATCATCGAGCTTTTGGCATAATTGACCCTGAGCCCCAAGCACTCTTGAGGAGAGAGGAGGGAGGATCTGTGGGCTATCAGCTCGGCCTCTGACTGGGCTAAGACAAGCCAGTCGTCGAGGTAATTCAGAATGCGGATTCCCATCTGTCTCAGAGGGGAGAGAGCCGCATCTATGCACTTCTTAAAAAGTGCGTGGGGCCAGAGACAGCCCGAACGGCAGGACCGTATATTGATATGCCACTCCCTCGAAGGCAAATCTCAAGAAGCGCCTGTGGCGGGGGGCTATCTGAATGTGAAAGTAAGCGTCTTTCAGATCCAGAGAGAAGAACCAGTCCCCTGAGCGAATTAGCGAGAGGATCTGTTTCAAAGTGGTCATTCTGAATGCACACTTTACTAGGGCGTGGTTCAAAATCCTGAGATCAAGGATGGGCCTGAGGCCGCCATCCTTTTTGAATTGGAGTAGATAACCTCGTTTTATAATCCCCATAACTCACTTTGACACGCCATCGAAATGGGGATGGCCTGCCAGGCCTCGGCCCTCGCGGCAAGGGGTTGAATTGGTTCGGGCGGCGGGTCGCTGTGAAGGGACCCGAGGCTTGCTGTGTTTGAAAGAGGAAATTTGCTCTCTTTTTGAGTATGTTTGTGTTTTATTTTGTCCGCTATCACAGCGGTTGTACACTTGGGCGCTAGAACGGGCCCTTTGCATGCAATAAACACATTTTTCCCAGCACCTGGAACTGGACGGGGTGACTGGGAACACGTACGAGGCAGTTTGGGGGGTGGTCCGACCACAGCGAGACTTTGCTCCCTCCTCTTCCTTCCAGAGGGATCAGGATGGCTTCTGAGGCGTAGGGTCCAGCACAATCTTGGGCCGGGGTCTCTGGCGCTTCGGAAAAAGGGTAGGCTTTGCAGAGCGCGAGCGCTACCTGGGCTCAGGCCGTGCAGAGGGCTGAGTCACAGGAGGCGTAGTTTTAACTGGCTGTTGAGTCGGCGCCGGCTTGGGGCGACTGGCAGCAGCTGCAGAACTGGAACGCTTCGACAGGAAGTGTCGCATGGCTTGGGACGACTTCTGTGCAGCCATGAAACGCTCTGAGAACCCTTCCACAGCAGGTCCGAAAAGGCCAGTGGGGGAGTCAAAGAAGATGGTTTAATCCGCTTCTTTGATCTCTGTCAAATTCAGCCACAAGTGGCGTTCTAGCACCACCAGGCTGGCCATCGACCTCCCAATGGCCTGTGCAGTCATCTTTGTGGCGCGCAGGGCCAAATCGGTGGCGCTGCGCAGCTCTCTGAACGCTGCAGAGTGTTCTGGCACAGACTCATCCATGGTGCGAAGGAGCTTCGCCTGGTACACTTGGAGCACCGCCATAGAGTGTAACGCAGACGCAGCCTGGCCCACCGAGGTGTATGCATGACCAGTGAGGGCTGAAGTCGTTCGGCAGGGCTTCGAGGGATGAGCGGCCTTTGCCTTCCATCCGATGGCAGCGGGGAGGGGGGCAGAGGTGTGCTTCACTCTATTAGTGCTAACTATGATGTAGGGACTGTTTGAGGGATTTACTGTATGAATATTTACATTTCTATGTCCTCTTCATATCCAGTGCCTTTGCCAGGTATCCAAACGGTGTGGTGGTTCACTACTTCTGCTGTAAAGATCGCAGCAGGTGTCCAGCGGAGTAGTCAAGCCTGCAATCCGGAGACGCCGGAAACACCAAACACGCCGAGCACAGAGAGCTCGGCAAACGTGACGCGTCTGTGTGAAAATGCCACCGAAAGAAACCACTCTCTCTCTATTTCTCTCACTCTTTCCAGTGGAATGGAAAAGCCGACACGTCTGTCTGATGAAAATAAATCCTTCAATGATCTTCATTGGTTTAGCTGCTTTACGCCCTTTATCTGACTTGCTTTTGTCATCAGAGTGTGTCTGATCTTTCCATTAATTATTAAAAATACAGTATTTTTCTGCATTCTGAAATAATTAAATTACAGTAACTGGCTGGCAACTTCTGGCGTAGCTGTATTTTACTGTAAATTTCACAGTGTTTTTCTGCTATAGGCTGTCAGATGGAAGGACGAATGCTTCCTCTAGTTTCTAAGATAACTTGTTTACGGCTAGAAGTCTGGATGTGTATGTTTTTTAACAAAGGCGTGTCGTCTAATGTTTCTAGTGGTTTGGGTTGTATGAGGTTTTGGAGAGCGGAGCGGTGACTCCACAATCACTGTAGCATGCCACTTTTTCTTTTCTGGCTACTTGAGTGTAGGGCTGTGCAATTAATCGCATGCGATTGTCATGTGCATCTCGTCATTAAAGCCGGTTCCGTGATTAGTAGTAAATTTCCATCACCTGCTTTCAGATGGAGTGGCATTTACTACACAGAGCTGTAGTTCACTGACAATTAGGCAATATCGAGTTCATTATCGCAGATCGAATCGCCTGCGATAATGAACATGATATTGCATAGCTTGTCAGTGAACTACGGCTCTGTGTAGTAAATGCCGCTCCATCTGAAAGCAGGTGATGGAGATTTACTACTAATCACGGAACCGGCTTTACTGACGAGATGCGCATGACAATCGCATGCGATTAATTGCACAGCCCTACTTGAGTGGCTTTAATTTATTATTAACATGCTGTCTTTACTGTTAGGAATGTTTCACCTATGTGTGCAGTCGTGTCGCCCAAACGGGCTGCAGTATTTTTTGGCTTTCTAATACATCTGTCCAATTAACACTGTTGTCAGATGCTTGTGCTTTCAGTTAACTGTAAACCATGAGCTGAACTGTTGCTCAAACAAAGGCACAAAGGCACGCTTACATTGAACCTTTGTAACAGGCCTGAAATGTATTGGTTGAAATGGATGTGAATGTGTAGATTGTACATTAAATCTGAGGTGAAAGACAAATCTAATAAACATGCATCTTCTATTAAGTGCAGTGTGGTTTGTTTAAGCTGTTTATTAATATTTTAAATTAGGTTTTATTTTATATATTTTGTTTTTAATTTAAATTGAATTTAAGTTTTAGTAATTATTGTTTGTGTGTGTGTCTATAATATGGTTATTCATTTGTTTTTGGTTTTTATTCTTATTTAAGTTTTAGTTATTTAAGTACATTAACTTATAAAAAATGATTCCAGCTCATTAAGTAATATGTTGTTATACTTTAGTTCAAGTAACAAAAGTTTTTTATGGATTTTCATTTTTTATTTTATATTTTATGTTTTCACTTTAATTTTAAAGTTTTAATAATTTTGTAATGTTTTTGTAATTTTTTTTTTATGTCTATGCCGTTTTTGTCCATTTTTATTTCAGTTTTAGTTTGTTAGTACATCAAAGTTAGACAAAGTTAGTTTTAGCTTTAGTTAACTATAATAACTCTGATTCTGAGAACAATTATGATTTGTTGTGTAATTGGCAATGAGACGCTAAGCTCAAAAGCCAAGGTCAAAGAGCTACCAAAACAACACCGGCTTGAGCAGCAGAACCAGCACATGCTACAAAGCACAGATACTCTGAGCCTCTGCTCCTTCCAAGATGCTGCTAAAGCCTCATCATTCTGCTACACTACATAAATCACGCTGAGGAGGAGCCAGTCATCTCACATCAAACCTTGGCAGATAGTTGCTAAATCTTGCTTATTTGAAACACTGAACGTGAACTTTTGATTGCACCACCAAGTCCTCTCTCAGTGTTTTTATTGTGTTTGGAGGCTGCTGCTTGCGAGAATGATATCTGCAGTGCAGCAGTCAAAAAAGTCCAGCAGATATAATACTAGGATACTAGAAGCTGACTCTAGTCAGGAACTGTAAAAACACTGTAGACACACAGTCAAGGGCGACTTAAAAAAAAAAAAAGATTGTAATTTTGACATTAAAACGCTGTTAAAAATGCTACATTAAAAAGTGCACAGAGCTGATGTAAAGTGCTGAGCTCCAGCAGACTCACAACATCACGAAAACAAAATCTGCTCTGAAATAATCAATCTTACAACTGCATATAATAGTCTGATCTAGCAGATGTTAACATTTCAAATGGATAGTTCTGCTTCTGAATGTTGATTTGATCATACAGCATTAGTTGTGCTTAAATACACAATATTTTAATGGATATAACATGGTTGGTTGGAGAGCAGGGTGCTGATGTAGAAAAATCAACAAATGGAGCGGATTGTATTTGATTTGAAAAAGCATTGAATCATTTTTCCATGGATTTAATTTATTGTTTCCACTTTTCTTGTCATTTTTAATATTAGTATTGTGTATCCCTCTTTAAAAGGTTTCCTTGATGCAAATGCCTTGCTATTTTCTCTTAGATATCAGTATATTAGATGAGACCATTTTAGTACACATCGTTTTTTTTTTTTGTCTTTTTAACATTATGCAATGTTAATTTAATCTGAAAAACAGCTGTGGCACATTATCAGAGCTGTTGATGGGCTGTAATGATCTCATTCGAGAAAAGAGACCAAAAGGGTCTGGCTGCAGCTGGCGCTTGCACTCTCAGACGTGCATTCTTAGGCTTGCACTCTCAGACACTTGCACTTCCGCTAGCGACGTCACTTGCAGTCTTTTTTATTTTTTATTTTGTTCTATTTATTGATTACTTTTTGTTTGAATCTCTCAACATTTTACAACAGTAGCCAGGTGGTGAAGACAAGAAAAAAGAAACTAAATTACGAAGTCACTTGCAATCGCCACTTGCACTCTCCGATACCTGCGACGTCACTTGCAATCGACACAAATCGTGCGTGTTGCCAATGGAGACAAGACGCTGTGGTGGTGATTTAATGATTATTTATTTTATTTATTTATTTAGTCATTTATTAGAGGCTTTTATACAAAGCGACTTACAAATGAGGACAACAGAAGCAATCAATTGTAGTATTAAAACAACTAAAAACAGATCCAAAACTAAAAGCTAAAACTTTATAAATACTACCTATACACATTTTAAAAATAAAGAGATTAAATAAAAATGACAAATGCATACAACAAAATTTCAAAACTTAACATTTAAAAGAAAAACAAAAAATAAAGCTAAAAACAATTCAAAATATTAAAGAACATGTTAAGTTTATGTTTTTCTACAGGAGGAAAACGCTTAACGAGAGACTTTGTGCATTGCGTTCATATTCTGCTGTTCTGTGGTGACGGATTTGCGGGTCTTGTCTTTTTCTTGCAGGACCCTGTAGGTTACGGTACTAAATTAGTTGTAATCGTTTAATCACCACCACAGCGTCTTGTCTCCATTGGCAACATGCACGATTTGTGTCGATTGCAAGTGACGTCGCATGTATCGGAGAGTGCAAGTGGCGATTGCAAGTGACTTCGTAATTTAGTTTCTTTTTTCTTGTCTTCACCACCTGGCTATACTGTTGTAAAATGTTGAGAGATTCAAACAAAAAGTAATCAATAAATAGAACAAAATAAAAAATAATAAAGACTGCAAGTGACGTCGCTAGCGGAAGTGCAAGTGTCTGAGAGTGCAAGCCTGAGAATGCACGTCTGAGAGTGCAAGCGCCAGCTGCAGCCAGACCCTTCTCAAAGAGACCGGTCTTGGACTGCCAGAGCAGCTGTTTGGAGTTTGATCCTGCTGATGTGCAACAACCTGTAACCTGCCCCGACAGCCTGATTTTTAAATGTAATATAACATTTCATAATAGTACTGTTTTTATTGGATCACTTAAATACAGCATTGGTGAAAACATTTAATTAAAACATTTCAAAATCTTGAATTTTAGTGTATATTTGTAATACTGATCTATTAAGCATTATATATTGTTTGTTGATGTCATTAATATGCATTTTATACAGGGGAGTGTACATAATGTAACAAAATTAACATAGCATGAAATTAAATGATTCAATTATTTTAGAATATGTTACATTAGAAATCTAAGTTTATCAATAACATTTTGGCTGACTCTAACGCTTTATGAATGATATCTTAAGCTAAACTTGCAACACTACTTAAATATGACCCATTTTTGCATATTTTGTCTAATTCTCTGGCAACCAGGTTACAAAATTGTGAATGTCTTAAAGGGGTCATATGATGCTGCTAAAAAGAACATTATTTTGTGTATCTGGTGTAATGAAATGTGTTTATGCGGTTTAAGGTTCAAAAAACACATTATTTTCCACATACTGTACATTATTGTTTCTCCTCTATGCCCCGCCTTTCTGAAACACATCGATTTTTACAAAGCTCATCGGTCTGAAAAGCGAGGTGTGCTCTGATTGGCCAGCTATCCAGTGCGTTGTGATTGGCCGAATACCTCAAGCGTGTGACGGAAATGTTACGCCTCTTGTGATACCTTGTTCCGGCCATCCTCGGCACCTTCTATTACCTGTGGCAGGACAGCAAACCTTCCTCCTCCTCCTCGTCGTCGGGCTCCCAGCTGAAGAACCACGGGCAGAAAGGGAGGCTGGAGGAGCGCACTCTTCCTCTGATCGTGAGTGGTGGTGATGATGATGATGATGATGACGATGGGCTGCATGCTGATCACTGCTGTAATGCATGCGTTTATCTGTGTTTCTGTGATCATGTCTGGAGCTGATGTATGGAGCTAGTGTGTGTGTGTGTGTGTGTGTGTGTCAGGTGCATGTAAGAGGCTTTTCCTTAATCCAGCTGCAGGTGTGTGTGTGTGTGTGTGTGTGTGTGTTTGTGTTTGTGTGATCCATGTGTTTTCTTTGTTAGGATTTAACCTACTCTAAACTGTTCAGGCTATCAATAACATCCTGTGTCCCTTATCAGTAATCCAACAGAAATGTAATCAGACATATGCTCTGGATTCACAGTGGGATTCAAATTAAAATTTGGAACTAGTTCTAACAGTATTTGTATTCTAGATGCCAACATTCCAAAAACTAGATATTTTAGAACATAAAATTCACAGTATTTAGATTATTGGGGGGAAATGTTCAAACTTAACCCTGTATAGCCTGACATATGAAATAATAGTCAGAATATGTGAGGAAAAAACAGTTCAGTTTTATTTAGAAGTACAAACTGAGTAAAAATACGCAAGTTGGTGCAAATGCAGATATTTATGTGACCAAAAAGTACGATGAAATTCTGATAGCTTGTAAATCAGTGAGATCTTTATAACAGTACAGCAGATACGTACATAAAATGATATATCAGTCGTCACTCTATAGAATATTTCTTAGTCAGATTCAAAACATATAGTACAATGCAATGCAATGATGATTGAGAGATGAACAAATAAATGTTTCTCAAAAGCCTGATGATCATATTTGAGACTCACATCTGAACAAGATTTTTCTAAAAAATTATGTCAAGTAAAAAAATGTGCATCTTGAAATATTACTAACAACATGAAAAGTTATTCTTATGTTTACTTTATAAAAATCAGTAAAAATTTGACGAGCTGAAGGTGTACGTTTGTACAATTATACTAAAAGAGCTTTTACTAGAGAAAAAAAGTCTAAACTAGATTTTTCTAAAAAATTATGTCAAGTAAAAAAATGTGCATCTTGAAATATTACTAACAACATGAAAAGTTATTCTTATGTTTACTTTATAAAAATCAGTAAAAATTTGACGAGCTGATCAGACGACAGAAGGCATGGAGTAGATTGTGTGTGATCATGTTATTAGAAATTTTCCTATCAAATATGATACAGTAGGATACAATTAATTAATATAAAATACTGTCAAATCTGACTGAAGATATAAACGGTGTTGATATTCTTGAGAAAACTCTGCTTTATTCATTTTCAAATGCGTAACTCAGATTCATACTGACTAATTTAAATTGACAAAACTAGGCTGACTGAGTCGAATCATTATGATTTTGCAGATATTTTCCAGGCGATCTGAGTCATCTGTGCTCTACAGCTGTTTGTTGTTTGTTTTGCTTCTCACAGTTTGACTCCACATTCATCAGGTAGAGAGCAAACGCTCCGGTTTTACTCCTCAGACGTCTGCTGGCTTCCAAAAAGAATGCGTAATATGCAAAGTTTGTGATTTTTGTTGAAATGATTCTACACAGGCAGAAATATCACAGAATCAATGCATGCATGTGAGCACTGGAAGAATCAAGATCAAACATCAGGAGAGGCTGTGCTGCGTCCCTGAACTGTGTCCTGAGCTCCATGGCAACCGAGCATCACTCTGTAAAGCACAGGAGACACGTGACGCCACCAGTGTCACCAAAACCACATCGCTATGTGTTGATCAATGCTTTTATTAAATCCTGTTATCCTGGAGCCTCGGACAAAATGATCTACAGCAGAAAAAAACTATCAGTAGTTTATCATCAGTTAACACATGTATTTTCACCACTGGTTTCATAATAATTACAGGTCATTCTTAGGTAAGATGGACTGTTTAATGGCTATTTCCACTACACTGATCTCTATAATATCACATTTAGTGAGTGGGATGGCTAATATATATATTTCTATATATTATATATATTTATATTGGCTAATGCAATTTAATAACAGCAACTGTGATGTACAGATATGTGCTGAAATTGAATGAAAATGTTTTCATATGATATTTACAAAAAAAAAACGTTTTGAATTATTCAATATTTGACAAAATAATAATAATAATAATAATTAGTAGTAGTAGTAAACAAAAATATTACTATGTTTTACAGTAAAATTAAAAATGGATCATTTAAGAAAAATGATATAATAATTTTAGAAGTAGTAGTAATAATAATCATTTTATTTTACATTAAAACAATAACATTAAAATACTAATATGTATGTCTCTTTTAACTGATTCGTTTTCAAATATTAAACCATCAAACTTTTATTTTGACTGAAAACTGCAGGAAGCCTTTTTTTATTTATATTTATATAGTTCACTGACTATAGTATGGAAGGCCATTTCTGCCACAGGATAACAAATGAAACAAGGTTTCAAAACTTTTTTTATCTCACATTTCAGACTTTTTTTCTTCCAATTCTGAGATATAGGAATTGTGAGATATAAAGTCAGAATTGCAAGATATACTGTAGCATTATTTTTTTTTATCCCATGGCAGAAACAAGCTTCCATACTATAGTCAGTGAATAGTGGATTACTGTAAAGCCTGCAGTTTTATAGCAGAGAAAATCTGTAAGGTGATGGCATTTGGTATAACTTTCACATCTGAGGCATGTGTCCGTATCTGAAAAAAGCGTCTGTACTGTTGCATTACTATAGGATATTGGTAGATTTTGCAACCGACTCGAGAAAGCGCTAACGCTACCGTCAGTGAATGCTGATCACCTTAAAATGCTCAACTATTAGAGCCTTGCTCAGTCACATCAGTCCATCACTAATAAGCATTCAGCAGTGCTGGTCTTGTCCTCATAATAGGCATTAGCTGACCGCTGTGAAGTGATAGTAATTCTCTACTTTAGCTCCAGTAATCCCGCTATCCATTAGCCTGCTTTGATATCTGATCTACCCTTGTATTTGTGCCTCTGCCTGTAAAAGAAGATGAAATGATTGTCCGCTCTGCCATGAGCCCTTTCACTCTATTAATGACAGAAGTCCTGAAAGAAAAGGATAGCCTATGTGTGTAGGGATAAATTGGGTGCTTTATCACAGCAGCAATCCATGCTTATCACGGAGCATCGTTGCACAGCGCATTTATTTATTTGCCCTGAGCCAATAGCAGATCCTGCCTTTACTGAGGCCTGTTCGCAGCACATCAGTCTCGGCTAATGTTCTTTTATGAGGGGAACAAATACTGAAATATCAGCGCAAGCATCTCTCTCTCATGCTCTGTTTTGATCTGTTTAGGAAGTGTTACAGATGCACAAAGTGAATTTATTTGATGTGGCTTTTTTGGCAAAGCGGAGTGAGCAATATTTGCACATTTTTCCCCTGCATCATTTGCATGTTGCTCCCAAGCAACATTATGTTAGTGCTGTTCTGCTAATGGCCTGGTTTGATTTTGTTGTACTTGTCCATTTGATGCATGTAAACAGCCAGCTGCTTGGACACACACGGCACAAACCAGATGTCTCATATCAGGGATGACTCGACTGAGGGCTTGATCGCTTGTTGTGTTGGTATACAATAAATCAAATTAGTGAGCATATTAACTTCTTTGTACAAATGACCTACAGAATCAATCAAGTAGTGCTGGGCGGTATGACCAGAAATTTATATCACGGTATTTACGGTATTTTTTTTTCATACATGACTGGGTGTTAACCATATTTTCTACTGATTGAGAGAGGAAATACTGCAGTATATTGACTTATTGACAGCTATTGACTGTTCAAATGCGGAGTTTTGCGCTGTGTATAGTATTGCGTCGTGTGTGTGTGTGTGTGTGCGTGAGAGAGAGACACATCACATCACATCACAGTGGAGTCAACTTTCTTAATCGCGGCTTGTGTACTGCAAATACATACGAGCATCATCACTGTGTCTGTCACGCGACTGTTCCACTTTCGGGCTTGAACTGATGGTAAAACTAAGGACATTATGTACTGTCTTTACATTTATGTTGAAAGCTGAAGCTCGCGATTATGGAAAGGGACGTTACATTTCCGATGCGTGCTTGCAGTGTTCGGCCAATCACAATGCACTGGGTCAGCTGGCCAATCAGAGCAGACTGTGCTTGTCGGAAATGTCAACATATTCTGTTACACCAAATACACAAAATAATGATCTTTAAAATAGCATCATATGACCCCTTTAATACCCATTTTAACTAATAATAAAAAAGCATCAATCCAACTAACCCAGTTTGCCTGTACAACTTGAAAAACTCAATATAGTGATAAAACTGCACTGAAATGCATATTCTTACAAGTTAAAAGTGAAAAACTTTTCTTTTCTTCACCCCAAAATGAAAGTCAGTCAGTCATTATTTTCTCACCCCAGTGTTGTTCTAATGCCACACGTGACCACACAAAAGGACACATTTTTAAAAAACATCATCCATATAAGTGAACAGTGACCAGCTTCAAAAAGAGTGCAAACTGAATGCAATGACTGAATTTTCATTTTTAGGTGAACTATCCCTTTCAGAACAACAAACCACTAAACAATAATCAAGTCTTTGGTTGTTTTGTTCAGCACTAGTTACTTGATCTAAGAATACTTTTTATAGTGCACTGAAAAATGGTTTTGTGGCTCAAGTCGCCTCTTCCCAGCATTCACCAGTGCATGATTTATTATGAAAATGGTTGCATTGTTTGACAGTTTCGTTTACATTTGCTCTTGATTTTGTTGTCGTATTTAGTAACGTATTGTTCTGTAATGTGTTTGTTTCGCTGCTGAAAATCTTTTTTTTTTGTATCTCAGTTGATTGTTACCCTTGTCATGTTTCATGCATCCAGTGTTGAGGTCTGTGTGTGGAATTTTTTGTTTTGTTTTGTTTTTGTCTCATGAGTATTATGTGATGAATGTGCATGTAAAAAAGCAAGCATTTCTCATAGAACATAACTTCTATATGCACTTCTATATCAGGCTGAGAAAATACAGAACAATGTAAAGTTATTTAAATGTTTTTTTTTTCCGATCGCACAACTTTAATTAATAAACATTAACTAACAATGAGCAATGTTTATTCATCTTTGAAAGCGGTGGTTAAAAATACAGCTGTTCATTGTTAGTTCATGTCAGCTATCCATTAAATAATATTTACAGATACAACTTTAGATTATAATAATGTTTTAGTCAATGTTGAAGTTAACATCAAATAAGTTTAATAAATGCTTTAGAAGTCATTTACAGTACAGTAGTTATCTAATGTTAACAAACGGAACCTTATTGTATAGTATTAACAAAATTTTACTTGATCAAAATAAGCCAAATGGCAAATTTTAGATCATGGCAATTGAAGGTTTTCAGTTCATTCAAGACACTGTGCACACATACTGATTTTTATAAAGTGAACGTAAGAATAACTTTGATAATGTTAGTAATATTTCAAGATGAATTCTTACTGGACTGAAGCAGCTTTGCTTTAATTACTTGATAAAATCATGTTCAAATGTGAGTCTCAAATCTGATCATCAGGATCTTTTGAGGAGCGTTTATTTGTTCATCTCTCAATCATTACTATATTGCATTTCATTATATGTTTGGATCATCAAACTAAGCATTTAAATCTCATCATATTACTAAAACATATTATTGGAGATATAGAGTGACGACTGATATTTATGTCATTTTATGTAAGTATCTGCTATATTGTTATAAAGATCTTACTGATTTACATTACAAGTATCAGAGTGTCCCTGAATACAAATGAGTTTTTCTCCCCTCCATATTTTTACTATATCATATTATATGAGCCATGATGTATCTGATGTATCAAAAACAAAACATAAACATATGCAAACTTTTACATTTTGTCTAAAGGTTCAATAAACCGTTCCATTTAAAAAATATAGATGCTACTGACTATTAGTTCATATGTCAGTCTTAACAGGGTTAATAATATGGTAGTACAATTATTTTTTATTATAGTATAATATTTAATCTCAGTGAGCACTCTGCAAGTGAGACATTTATTTAACAGCATCACAAGTGGATAATCCAGTGTGTGTGTGTGTGTGTGTGTGTGTGTGTGTGTGTGTGTGTGTGTGTGTGTGTGTGTGTGTGTGTGTGTGTCTGTCAGGTAACTCATGCACCAAAGCTGGAGCAGCAGAGTCAGCTCTTGGGCCAGTTTGATGAAAAGGCTTTTCTATCCAGTAAGCAGCTGAAGGCAGGTGAGGATCCGTACAGAGAACATGCATTCAACCTGCAGGAGAGCGACCGACTTGGCAGCGAACGCGCCATCAGAGACACACGCCACTATCGGTAACATGTTGCCATTTGTTACATATTTGGGCTCATTTAATTGAGCATTCAGCTACCAATAGGAGTGTAGTACTCTAAACTCTGTTTAACATTTACCATGTGCAAATACATTCCTTATGGCTGTGCGGTGAGCTACAGTAGATTTAATATTGTCCTGCTGTGTGCTCAGCCGTGACAATGAAAGCCCTGATCCGCCCTGTGTGTTTACTGCATTCACAGATGTGCCTCCATGACCTTTGACCCTGATCTGCCGCCCACCAGCATCATCATCACTTTTCACAATGAGGCGCGCTCCACCCTGCTGCGCACTATTAAAAGGTGACAGCCTACACTGCATTGAACACACAGAGCTGTGCTGGACAGCAGCGCTTATACGCATAAAGAGAAAACTCCGTCTGATTCCACTGAAGAACCTGCAACTGCTTCCTTAAAGAGCTGGTTCTGCCTGATTTAACACAAAACAATGTATTTAGGTAGATTCAGCGATAGGGCTGCAACACGTTCTTTTTGATAATCAATTAATCTAATGATTATTATTACACGGCAGCCTGAAATACTCAATCTGATTGCTCAGTCGTGACATTCTGAGGTATGTTATGTAACGGATAATGTACATCCAGCCGGTTGTTATCGCAGAATAACCCCCGACAGGGTGATCAGAATCTTGTATCACCCTGAAGGGGGTTATTCTGAAATAACAACCGGCTGGATGTACATTATCCCGCTTATTACACAGCTACTTGCCACATAAGTAAATATAGATGATAAAAATAGATTGATTATCGATAGATTATAGATTATATAAATATATCTATAAATTAGACCTGAAATATTGATTTGAGTTGAAATATTTGAATGCAAAGCTTCCGTGAAAACAGCAGTTGCGAGCAAATGGCAAGTTCAAACTAGACAGACATTTAAGAAATATGGTGCAGTCATGCCACTTATTACACAACATTTCACCAGATAAATAATTAAGGCAATAAAAGATACTGATTTAAGATGAACTGTTTTGAATCCTTACCAGGTTGTTAGTTATCTTATAATCCATTACAGTGTACAAAACAATCATTGCAAAATTACAGCAGCTGCGTTTGTATGAAACGAGAGAGCGAGTCCACGATACCAGGATGACATAATTAAATAATTCTACACATAATATTGAATTGGGTTTTAATATTTTATTAGCTCACCAAACGCAAAGCTTCCACAAAGAAAAACTGTTCCTAGCAAGCGTATAGTGCCGAGTTCAGTTACCCGGATGAGCCTGTGTTATCCATAGATATGTATAGGGGTGTCAAACTTAATTCCTGGAGGGCCGGAGCCCTGCAGAGTTTAGATTCAACCCTAATTAAACACACCTTATCCAACTAATCAAGTCCTTCAGGCTTATTTGAAAACTACATGGTATGTGGGATTGGAACAAAACTCAGCATGGCTCCAGCCCTCCAGGAATTGAGTCTGACACCCCTGGTATAAATACATACTATACATATCTATGATGTTATCAGCTTTTTCCGGTTGTTATCGAGGAATAACATACCTCGGAATGTCACGACTGACCAATCAGAATCAAGTATTCCACAGAGCCGTGTAACAATCCGCGATGACAACCGTCGTCATTAGCAACGCAGAATAACACACGCTCTTAAGGCCAGCGCTTCTTTCACATCTCTCATATCACACCACACCACCATTCATTCAAACGCAATTGCTGTCATCTTGTGCCTCAGTTATTGGCTGTATTTACTGTAAAATGAAACGGGAGGACTTCAGCGTTAACAGTAGGCTTGCAGTAGTATTGTTAATAGTGTTTGTCTTGTTGCTAGAACAATCGTTTTGTATACTGTAATGGATTTAAGATAATAAACAGTAGGGCTGCACGATTATGACAAAAATCATAATTGTCGATTATTCCCTTGAAATTGTAATTGCGATTATTAATTACAATGATCACAATTTACATTGAATGATGTTTATACCATTGTTCGATGCAACTGCATGCCATATTTTTATATGAAAATAAACAAGCTGAAAACACTCTAACTGAAAAACCTTTAGTGCTTTTCTATAGTATTAAGCCTCAAATGTCAAATATACATCGGATTGGTTTCTTCTTTAAATTATAAAAAAAGAAAAAATGTGAATGGTATTATAATGTTATACTAAAACTAAAACAATGGGAAAACCCTTAAGATAACATGTAAAAAGAAAAAATCATATCTTAAGCACACAGAATAACATGAGTGGACTTTGAACGATTAATTGCCACTTTGAACGATTACGTAATTGTGGCATTCATAATTGTAATCGCGATTAGAAACGCGATTACATTAATTGTGCAGCCCTAATAAACAGGTACGATTTTAAAATGCTTTCATCTCAAATAACATTTTACGCCCTCATCTTTATGTAATTATTGATACGACTGTACATTATGACTTAAATGTCCATCTTGTGTGAACTTCTAGGCTCACAGCCGTTTGTTAGGACCTGTTTTCCTTTGCAGAAGCTTTGCGTTTAAAGAGCTAATAAAATATTCCAACTCAAATCAATATTTTTGTCTAATTATTTATGTTACGTATCCGGTCCATGAACTTCCGTCTGCTAGCCATCAGAGGTCACCCTTTCCATTTTCATTGACTCTCGCACTACACACTGTTGCACATCACCCCGGACTACATATCCCATCATTCATTGCACTGATTGCACACAGCCCTGATTGCACACAGCACTGATTGCACACAGCTGTTTCATATCACTCATTCACTATTTAACACCCAATCTCACTCCGTTCTGGCTGCCGAGTATTGTATAAATATGAGTATTTGCCATTGTTCGACCCTGCCTGTGTTTCTGACCTCTTCTGCTTTAAATAAAAGCTTGCACATGGATCCACACGTCTCACATCTCGTCAGCCCCGTTACAATTTACTTATGCGGCAAGTATCCGTGTAATAAGTAATGTAAGTTACAGAGCTGGTGCAAACATATCCAAATCGCTGTGATCAGCTGCTTTCTTAACTGCTGTTTTCCCACACTGTCATGTTTGTTGTGTTTATTTAGTTATTGAGAGGAAAGCACGCAGCAGATATTTACATATTCATCTAAGCGCCGATCTCAGTAAACCGTGTCGAACTTCTAATTGCTCCTAACCAAAGAATAAAAAAAGAACTTCGCCATGAGTGTATTGGGGCCTTTTCATATGGCAGCATTTTTTTTGCATTTTTGTAAAACTTTCATGTACTTGACTGGTTCGGCGTTGTTTGCTCTTCTCATAAGTGCCGTGTCTTCTTCTATTGGATTGCTTCCGGGAGGGCTAAAATACAGTCTTGCTCTACAGTCAAACTACATTACTGCAGGAGCGACTAATCGACAGCAAAAACATTTGTCAGCAATTTTTTATTGTTGCCATTGTCGATAATGTCGACTAATCATTTCGTCCCTATTCAGTGATGTTAAAGGGGTCATATGATGCGATTTCAATTTTTTCTTTCTTTTTGGAGTGTTACAAGCTCTTGGTGCATAAAGAAGATCTGTAAAGTTGCAAAGACTAAAGTCTCAAATCCAAACCGTGGACAAAGCGGAGTCCAGCCCGGGGTCGTCACATGTGGTTGCCGCAAGCCCGCCCGCCGCCACTCACTCAAGCCGGCCTCTTCTCACTCTAGGCCTCCGTGTGTGACACTGTGTTTCGTTGTAAAAGCGAAACTACTTTGTTTGCAATGCAGCGTGTAAAAAGACAGTATAAGTCATTATAATCCGTAATTATGTCCCCACTGGATGCAACAAATGCCTCGTTTATAATGGGTTTTAATGTTTTTGTCTCGTCGCTCCAGCCGGGACCAGGCATCACAATATGGTAAGGGGCGTAACATTTCAGTCACACGCTTGAGGTATTCAGCCAATCACAACGCACTGGATAGCTGGCCAATCAGAGCACACCTCGCTTTTCAAAACGATGAGCTTTGTAAAAATCGACGCGTTTCAGAAAGGCAGGGCATAGAGGAGAAACAATAATGTACAGTATGGGGAAAATAATGTGTTTTTTGAACCTTAAACTGCATAAACACATTTCATTACACCAAATACACAAAATTATGTTCTTTTTAGCAACATCATATGACCCCTTTAAATAATATCTTTGACTTAAATAAAACCAGTTAATATAGATGTTACCATTATTAGGTCACCTTGTTATTTCAGTGTATCTCAAACTGACTCTACAGTACATCAACAATGACAGTTTAAGTGTCATTTCTGTATTTTACAGTGGTGGCCAAAATGATTAGAACACTAGTATTTTCACCTGCTAAAAAATGGTTTTAAGTCAGTTATTTCTATCTTTTGCTGTAGTGTGTCAGTAGGAAATATCAGTTTACATTTCCAAACATTCATTTTGCCATTAATTGTAATAATCCATTGAGAGTTTTGTTTGCACAAGGAGTCTGACAACAGCCAGTGCTCCACACAGAGATCTGATCTCACCATCATCCAGTCCATCTGAAATGACATGAAGAAACAGCACAAACTCAGACAGACTAAATACAGAAGAACCATGGCAACGTCTCCAAGACGCTTGAAGAAACCATCCTGCAAAGCTACAAAACTGTTATACGTTTTAGGCACGTGTGTAAAAATGCTCAGTTTGTTCTGTTTCTTCATGTCACGCCTGCAGAGTTTGAGGTATCAGTCATGAGTGTAGTAACAGTGCAGGACACATTACACACTGAAGTTTAATACTTAGTGTTAGTGAGTTGAACAAACCCCAAACCCTAAGTGAGCCCTGACTAATAGTAGCTACAATAGTAGTTGCTGCATTGAGCTTATTTTTTTTTTCTGTACCACACGTTATTATATTAGCTTTATTATAGTGCATTTATCTTTTTTATCCTGTTGTTTATCCTGTTGTTTTTGTTTCAGTGTACTGATGAGAAGCCCACCTCACTTGATACAGGAAATTATTCTTGTGGATGACTTTAGCTCCAACCGTAAGTAGAGCTTCATTTCATTGCAACACACACACACACACATTTGAAAGTAGTGAATGATGACAAAGTGTTTCCTGTGTATGTATGTGCTCATATTTGATGTCTGAGGATACATTAGCTGTGGAGGTCTTTGTAAATATTGCTAATTTTCTGTACATCAGTGAGCCAAGACTAAACCCGTCCCTGCTGTTGCCACGGTAAGGAAACAAACGGCACAATCAGAAGTGTAGCTCTGCTGTTATTGATGTTGTGGAGCGTTAAAGAGAGACGTGATTTTTCCCTTTACCGAGATCATGTGTTGAGCTCAGGCGGCCCTTTATGCTCTCCTTTCTTTGGCATGAGGAACACATGCACTTCACAAAACACACACACACACACACACACACACACACACACATGTTGACAATGAGATAAGAAAGCTCTGCTGTTGCCAAAGATGCTTCAAGAGTTCAAGTCTCATTAATTTCAGGTTTCTGAACTAAAATACTGGAAGACCCTTCATGAGCCAGTTAAATTCTGGTTAGATCTGCCTGTCTAGAATGCGTTGTTATTATTGCATGCTGTTTTATAATGTACTACAACACACTGAAGTGCAATTATCATCTGCCGCTATTTGCACTAAGCCATTCTTTAAAACTAAAAAAGTCCTCTAACCTCAGACATGGCCAAAGATTAGAAGTTGTGCGTTTAATTCAAAGATAGTTCATGTAAAGTTCATGCCATTGTGTATTAATTTTATTTCAGCTAGTCAGGCTCATGTAGTCAATATCTTGAACTATATATTGCATTTTGTCATCAGAGTATATATTCAGTGCTCCTTACATCTTGATGGAGTGCAGCTCTGAGTTTATTCGGGGTTGTCGGTAGACCGGAAAGCTCTGCAATAATTTAAATGAGCTTTCAGTTTGTTGCTGAATAAACTACAATATGCGCCAGGTTTTATCTGCAATACTACGCTTGATTTATAGTGCAGATTGTAAATCTAAATGATTTAATTACTGACAAAAATGGCACATGGCAATAAAAAGGCAATAAAAATGTTAATTTATAAATATACCCTTCTTTGTTGTTAATTCATGTTAATTAATTATATTTTATACAACTTAAAATGTAAAAAAAATTTTGTTAGAAATGAACCTAGATTAACTTGTGAGATATTGTACTGGTATCGCTACAGGAACGCCCTTTCACCGTTTGTATCACTCCGCTTCCCGTATTTCTCACTGCGAGTGTCATGGTGGATGCCCAAATCCACTAAAATTAAAAAAATAATACTGTTTTTGTGTGACGGAATGTAGTTTTAAGAGTTTTTTAGGGGAGAATGTACTTGTTTAGACTTCAAATATGCGGTTTGTTAATAAAGATAGATTTCAAGAAAAAACAGAGACAAGGCATCATTTGGGTAATCGTATTTTTTGCATTTTATTGTGTTTCAAGTAGAATATACACAAGTGGAAAAATGGAAAAACCCCGCTCAGCTTGGAAAAAAAACCCCGCTCTGCTTGAAAAAAAAAAAAAACGAGATACGGGAACGAGTACTGCATCTGCTAGATGCATATGGGAAAAAAGCCTTTTTCTCCTGAACTAAAGCCTTTTTCATTCACGCAGTGAAACTGCACGGCCAGTGGTTCGTGCAGTGTATTAAAAAACGTACGAACCAATGGTTAGGCAGCGGAGCTGCATGAGCCTATGGCGACGCCGACGAAGCCCGCCAAGCCTGCCAAAGCCCGCCAGAATGGGAGGGGCGTCTGGCTATATAACCGGGCGTTCGCCACAGGATTCTCAGGTTACTTCGACTAAAGCGACGACTGAGTCGTGCAGCTACATAGCACGGCTAGCAGCGCAGTACTCGTTCCCGTATCTCAGGGAACCGAGGTTACGTTAGTAACCGAATATGTTCCCTTTCGATACTACACTCGTACTGCGTCTACTAGACGCATATGGGAACACAGTACAATCACGCCGTGCTAATGTAGTGGAATGACTAAAGGTATAAAACTTCCATAAGCAACCAATGCCCATAGAGAAGTTAACAATAACCCAAGGCTAAGACGGGCTGAGCTTCCCGAGGTCACACCCGGCCTGGTTAATCGTTCCAGAGTACTCCTTTAACTTAGACACCCAGGGGTTGAGAGCTAAGAGGTGAAACAATGCCAGAGAACTTGAGCGTGATACAGCCAAGGGCTCTCTGCCAGATCTGTTTACGCAGTGCATGTCACTTCAAGCGGAAAGGACACTGGCCTGCGAAGCTGGGACTTCCAGGTTATAAAACCTTGCGAATGTGGACGGCGAGGCCCAGCCGGCCGCCTCACAAATATCCGCAATGGACACACCACTGGACCATGCCCAAGACGAGGCGATGCCTCTAGTCGAGTGGGCCCGTACTCCAATGGGGCATTGGACCAAGGAAGAATATATACGGGATGCAGGCATGGCATGGGATAAATGTGTTGGGATTTGCACAGACGGGGCCCGTTCAATGACTGGGAGGATTAGCGGTCTTGTCACTCGTGTCCAGAATTTAACCCCTTTAGCCAAGTGGACCCACTGTATGATTCATCGTGAATCTCTCGCATCAAAACAAATGCCTGAGTCTCTTGAGGCCGTTTTAAAGCAGGCAGTGCAAATTGTCAATTTCATTAAAGCACGGCCATTAAATGCACGCTTGTTTTCCTTGCTTTGTCAGGAAATGGGAGCCGAACACGAGCAGCTCCTTTTTCACACTGAGGTTCGCTGGCTCTCCAGAGGTCGGGTTTTACATCGCCTCTACGAATTGCGTTCAGAGGTGAAGACATTTCTTGTTAATGTGAAGTCTGACCTTGCGCGGTACCTGGATGACCCCCTGTGGTTAGCGCAGTTGTCGTACCTTGTAGACATTTTCGACAGGTTGAATTCGCTGAACACATCGATGCAAGGGAGAGATGCCAACATCTTGCTCCTTTCAGACAAAGTCAGTGCATTCGTTGGCAAACTGGATCTTTGGCGTGATCGGCTGATTAATAAAAATGTTGACATGTTTCCCAACTTCGCCGAGTTTATGCAAGAGACAGGGATAAATATCTCTCCTTTGATTAACACAGTCGCTCAACATGTTGAGGGACTAAAACAACAATTCGGCCGTTATTTCACTGAGGATTCAGTTCATTTGCTTGGGTCAGAGATCCCTTCAGTTGCCCAGGAAAAGACCTTCCAGTTGACATGGGGGAGCAGTTAGTCGAATTAAAGAGCAACACTAGATTGCGACACCTCTACAGCTCTTCCTCTCTGCCGTCATTTTGGTTGAGCGTGATGCCTAAATATACTCAGTTATCTGACGCCGCCGTAAAATTACTTGCGACTTGTGCGAGGCCGGGTTTTAATATTGACGGCTTTGAAAACAAAGTACCAAAATCGGCTCCAGGTGGAGGATGACCTGAGGCTTGCGCTGTCCAACATTGAACCGCGAATTGCACTTCTTTGTAAAAAGAAGCAAGCACAGGTATCCCACTGATTGATGTAACGATGCCATTGCTAATTAGACGCAGACGCGCCCTGCGTCCCAATTTGCAAAATTGTAATACAACGAGTTCCAAAAGGTTGAGAACCTCTGCTCTATAGTGGTTAAACATGAGATATAATTCATTTTGGGTAAATCTAACAGGCAGTCTTTGGTTTCATTAATCTATTATTTGTTCCAGAGCAAATAGTTTTGGCTGAGGGCGAAATATCATCACGTTATATTTTATGTAACTTTAATGCAGTATTTCAAAGCACTGACTTTGTACTTTTGACTGAATTGTCTAGCAACTTTTATGATGGCTGTAGTTGTTGTTTATTATTCAATAAATACTATATTATATTCATAGTAGTATTTAGTATTGGGAAACAGTGTGTGTGTGTGTGTGTGTGTGTGTGTGCGTGATGGTGATTTTTGTGTCATTGTTCTGCCATTAGATGGTGACAAGAGACTGTTTTACGAGTCAGCAGTAAAGACTTTTATATTGACAGAGACTGAAACGAAAGTTCTTTTTGCTTTCAATAACAGCTTGTAAGATGCAGTTAACAAATGCACTGAGCAGCATTGTCATCACCCTTAACAGATGAAACAGAGAGCTTTTAATACAGTAATACAATAAGCTTTTAATGAAGCAACTCAACGTTTCTTCGTTACTAGTTCTAAAGTGACGTTTTCTAATTAGTAATGGAGGCTTGAGCTTAGCTGTTAAACTGTCAAACATATATATATAAAATGAAAGCTCTTGATGAGCTCTTTCTACTGCCAAAAGGATACAAGTGAATTCAATTCAATTTGGAGCTAAGAGACTTAACACTGACCATACTAAACCAACTGGTGCCAAAAATGTTTAACTGCACTTATGCCCTTTTGGCATTGAGAAATGTAATGATGTTTTACTATACTTCAGCTAATTATATGTAAGTGTGAACTCGTGAATTGTGGGTAGGGCTGCCCTTCACTAAAGATATTTCTGATCAACTAATATTTGTTAATGTAAAGCGATTAGTCGACTAATTGCACGTTTATATTAATAAACCATACAATTCATAATAATGAGCCTTTAATTGCCTATAGCCTATCAGTGCTCAAGCGCACACATACAGCTTGCCACAGTGCACCAAAATAATGATTATGAATGCATCAGGGGGAAAAAAACAGCAAGAAGACTGCCTTAACATTATAATAATTAATTGATAAACTAGTGAGACTGACTCGTCATCTCCACAGTGGACATGCACGTTTCATACAGATTACATAATCTGTAAATATTTGTTTTCCATTTGAATTGGTTCATTTAAAAGTAGACATTTTGCTTTCTATGTCTACTTTTCATGTCTGTGAGGCAAGCACGGAGTTTCGGTTCTTTTTTTCGGTGCTCAAGTTCACAGAGACTGAGAGGGCAGAAAGCACACCCTGTTTCTTTCATCATTTTACAAAAGCACAACGTTTTGTAGTTATTGTGAGTAGACCTTTTACAGATTCGAAAGATGCATTACTCTTATCT